TGGTTATAAATGTGTTATCAATCTTACATATAATGCAATTCCACCAAGAGACGAACGTATTATAACCTAAACATACATAATGAAGTAAATAATATAATGCATTTTAATGCAATGCAATAAAGTTAATTGCTTTGTGTATATGCAAAGAATCATACCAATTGTTTTTATTCCATTCATATGCATTAATCTCATGCATTATTATGCATTTAAATATAAAATAGCTTCCTTCACCGAAATAATAAATATGCTTTCGATTTCTTCACATCAAACCATTGCAATACATTATCAGTGAGACCATAACAACTCAAAAAACCATGAATTGTATTTAATGTCATAAGTTACAAATAGCTTTTCAAAAACAAACCTCATGCATTTGATTTTAACCAAACGTTTCACTATTCATGGTTCTTCACTAGTCTCATAAATCATATCTACCATTTTATTATGCAATTCTCAATGCTTATAAATAAGCATTAATCATCATGCATTTAAAAACTTTAAAACAACGCATAATGTAGAACGCCTAGTTTTATTTTTTATTAACATAAAAGAAATAAAAATTAAGTATTATATATCATCTTTACAATTGCTTTCCCATAACGCATTTCCGCGTGGATTCTCGTTTAACACATTCTAAATAAGCATATTATAATTGAATATCACAAAATTTCTAATCAATTATAATTCTCATCAATGATGGTTAATCACAAAATTTCTTCATCAATATATAATTTAATATCTTCTAAAAACGTTTTTAAACTTCATTCATTAACATTAAAAGCTATTAATGTTTTATACTTCCTTCATCAACATAAAAGCTATAATTATATTATGAATTGCATGCTATAACTATAGCATTAAATCCATGATATAAAACACGTCTGATAATTTTTACTAACCTTTTGATTTTTACCATTCTAAAAAGCATGATGAATTTCAGCATTGCAACATAAAAGCATGATCTTATGTAACACCATTTAAATTCAATTTCGCAAAGTTATATTACATTTTAACAATAGTACGATGAATTCGCTTCTAAAATGTTTAAAAATAGACTGCTACAAAACTAGGAGTTAAAATTTACTGGGAATATTAAATAAAATAATTAAATGGAAAGATAATTGTGTTGTGGTAATCCACTACCTTAGAAGTAAATTTGCCTCGATGTGTGTAATAACTACAATGGACGAATGACCCCCTGAAGTTAGCATGACTCTCCAAATTGCATACACCCGAAGATAAAGTGAACTTGGTGGTACTGCTCTTCTCTCAAAGTTCAAACGACACTCAGAATAGAAAGAGTCTTTCTAAAGCAAACAATGCTTAGAAATATTTATCTTGAAGTGTCATATGAAATGGAAAAAAATATCATTTATATGCTCAAAATAGGGGTAAAATGGTAAAAGATCTATTAGCAGTTAAAAATAATTAATTGTCATGAACATTATTCTTATGACCATAAACTATATTAAATATTTTGTATGACTATAAACGGTAAAAAAACTTTGATAAATATTGTTTGCTTTAGAAACATTCTTTCTATTCTGAGTATTGTTTGAATTTTGAGAGAAGATCATTACCACCAAGTCCACTCCATCTTTCGGGTGTACGAAATTTGGAGAGTTGTGTTAACCTAGAGGGGTCATTCGTCCATTTTAACAATTACACACATCGGGGCAAATTCATCTCTAAGACAGTGGTTAAAACCACGACACAGTTAATCGGTTCTCTGTTTAAATATTTTATTTAATATTTTTCAGTCAATGCTAATGCCTAATTTTGCAACAATCATTTTTTCCAACACGAGTTACATTTGTTGGTCATTGCAGTTTTAAAGTATACATACATGCAATCGAATTCTAATATTTGTATAAATAATCATTTTGATTTTGATTTTTGTTTTGGAAGTAGTTTAGCTTTCAACATTTTAATTTTTTTGTCAAAATAGTCTACGTTAGATGAAAACCGTCAATTAACTAACGGTTAACACATGTTGTTAATGTAATATTTTCAAATGTGTTTAATTGGTGATACGACACATAAAATACCATCATTTTATGTGACATCATTTTAGATAATTTGATACATGAAAAGTTATCAATTTTTGTGACGTAACATATGCACATCATCATATTGGATGATGTAACGCATTACACATCATCATATTGGATGATGTAACGCATTACACATAATCATTTTAGATGATGTGACATATATTACATCATTACTTTGTATATTGTGGCACATGTCACATCATTACTTTTGTAATGTGGCATATGTCACGTCAACAATTAAACTCGTGTTAAAATGATACATCAACAACATGCGTTATTCATTTATCAACTAACAGTTTTCATCCAACATATATTATTTGGACAAAAAATAAAATATTGGGGCTAAAATACTTCAAAAAAAAAAAAGAACATGAGTCAAAGTGATCATTTGTGCAAATGTTGTGGCTAACATTGTCATTATATCAAATTTAATATGGCTAAGGTCGAACCATGTGTTTAGCTCAATTGAATTTGATTCGAGTATAACATCTCTTCACTTATCATCTGACTTGATCTTATTTTAGGGAAGCTTCACTTGACTCAAAACTCTATATGACTTATAAGATAAAAATCTACACTTGACTCGATTATATATATATATATATATATGATTCTCATTTTTATTAAAAAATAGTGACTTAATTAAAATAAAATAATTAAAACTAGAATTTCACGTACACGAAATATATATCAAGTTTAAAAAAAATTAAAAGGAAACTCACATGACATGACCTTGGGGGACATGCCATCAGATACTGCCGAAGTGTGAAACAAATCTTGCAATTGCATTCAAAATTCCATATTTTTTTCTTTCCTTCTCAGACCATTTCACATGTTCTAAGAGTCACGTAACATCAACTCGGTCTTGTATTATTCTATTTCCTTACTTTCATAATCAGCTGAATAATTATAAGATATATATTCTGGTCCACGAACAACATATCGTATCTTATATCTGTCATGACTATCATGTGTTCACTATATATGGATCTTGAAAGGTTCGGATAATCAAGAAAAACAACGTTTGCAAGCTACTGAAATGTCACTTCTCTGCAGTGTAACTTTCCATTACAAAATAACAATCCAATGGTTGTGGATTTGGAGAAAAAATGTTTCTTCACACACTTGTTTAATCCCGTTCAGAAACTTGATCTCACCTTAAGAGATGACATTGTCTCTTTTAAAAGCGTTGATGACAATAAGTTTATCTCGTCATTGTTAACCATTCATTCATTTTTTATTTGAATGGAAAGCTATAATCAATAAGAAAATGAGAGTTGACCAATGATTGGAAGGAAGAAAGAACGGGTCACCATGAGAATGAATGAGATGATATAGAGATTTTGAAGGTTTTTCCAATATTGGTTAGAGGTATTGACCTTTAGTGCGTGAGTTGTTAGGTCATCATGACTATTTGTAGACTACCAGGTTAGACAAATCTAGTTTTGAGACTTTAAATTTCTTTCTAACATATCATATGGACATATCAAGAGTTTTGTCTACATAATGTAGTTGACTAAAAGTATGTATTTTAAGGATGTAAACCAGTCGAAAGGTTTTATGAATAGAGAAGTTTATCCGAAGATTTTGGTTAGTGAAAAATTGACAATTTTAATGAATTTAATCTAATAGAGGTTTGGAGTTTTTTGAAAATTATCTCCAAAGATATAACAAAAAGATATGTGTGTGTGTTACATTTGTCACTTTGTACATTTGATCCCTGAAGAAGGATTAAGAGAATTCATATTACACCTGGTTGTTCTTAATTGGATTTTGACTGCTTTTATTTAGGGTCAACTATTACTGGCACCACCCTATGATTGAACATGACCTTGGAATTGAGTTATACGAATATAACCAATAGTATCCACATCAACTCATGGGACCGATGCTCCCTCTAATTTAGCTTTTGAAAGATGTGGAGTTGGAGAAATCCATATCCTCCATTCTCCATCACTTCTACTTTTTCTGCTATATTCCTTTGCATCTTCTTTTATCTTATTCTTTTTCCACCTCCTACAATCATGTTGATAACTTAACCAAGTTGAACCCAAATTTAAAATTTTCATTTAACTAATTTAATATTAGGGTAAAGCATACAAATGGTCCTCCAACTATAGGATACTATTTTATTATGTGCATCGAACATTAAAAGTTGCAAAATAATCCTTTGACTATGTATTGTTATTTTGTTAAGTCCCTCAACTATTAATAAAAGTATACAAATGGTAATCCAACTATTCATTATGTTCTAAACTCGTCTTTTTCAATTAAAAAATTAGTGGTTGTCTAAGTTGGACGTCAACATGATGATTGAAAATGATAATTGTTTGAGATTATGGGATCATATTACACTTAGCAAGTTAACGTTAAGCTCAAAATAATGTCATTTTTAACATAAAATGACAAGTTTAGAGCATAATAATGAATAGTTGAGTGATCATTTTGTAACTTTTAATAGTCAATGACTCAACAAAGCAACACTCTCTAGTCGAATGATAATTTTTTAACTTTAATAGTCGAAGAACTTAATAGAATAGTTCCCCTATAGTCAGGTGACTGTTTGTGTACTTTACCTTTTTTTTAAAATCTAATTTAGTTTTAGATGATTATAAAAATTTATAATTCAAACCATTAAGTGATGTTAATGATAAAAATTAACTTTATTCTTTTTAAAAGGTACAAACAAGTGCATGTATACATTATCTAAAGACTAGAAAAACTCTAGACAAATACACAAAAAAATTACTAAAAAATATTATAAATTGTATTAGAAATTTATTATAATTTTAATAACCTAAATTCAAACTAATATATAAATAATTGTATCCACTCATATTTTGTTCTTATTAAATAACTTGTCGATCACTCACTCTCTCCCCTTCCCCATACACTCTTTAGAGTCTATCCATGGCCGACAACTTCTCCTCATGTATAATAGGAGCCATGGATCGTCTTCGGTTTCACCAAACTATTCTTCACCCACAACCCTTTTCACTATTTCCCAATAAAACCCTTAAGCCACAGCAGCCCTACTCGGAATCTCCATTATCAAGCCGATCGGAATCATCTCTTGCAGAGGATAATATCTCAGCCTCTATTTCACCATTAACTCCATCGGTAATAATAAAGAAATCTATGCTCCTCAACAGTGTTCAAATAATTTTCTCAAAGTTTAGGCTTTCACTGGTTTTTGTTCTTATTTTTGTTTACTTTGCTGTTGTTTTCATGGTGATTAATTCTAGGAAGAGGAAGAAGAAGGAGAAGAAGAAAAAGTGGATAAAAGGGCTGGAAGAGGGAGTGTTAGCTCCAGAAGCCGTTCACATTCTTCATCTCCATCAGCTCAAAAGAATCAAAGGAATCACATTCACAGGCACTCAAGTACTTCATGTGCACAAGGGGGTAAACTAAAGAAATCCACGAATTGTAAGAGCTTGAAAGAGTTGGAACTGGAAGAAGTAAAAGGGTTCATGGATCTGGGTTTCATATTCAAGAAAGAACATTTAGATTCAAGAATGATTAACGTCGTCCCAGGCTTGCTCAGGCTCGAATTTTTTGAAACCGAATCGAATCTCGCTGCCGATGAACTGCGTAACGATGATATTATGAGACCGTATTTATCAGAGGCTTGGCTGATTAAAAGACCCGATTCACCATTGCTCAATCTGAAACTACCAAGGGTGACTGCAGCTGCTGATATGAAGAAACATCTCAAGTGTTGGGCTCAAACTGTTGCGTACGTAGTACAGCAACAATGCCAAGAGTAAATTAAACCTAGCTACCTGATCAAACTGAAAAAACAAACTAACAAAAAAACAAACTGTAATGAGAGAGTATATAAATAAAGATGAGCCAAAGGCTCTTTTTGTCACCATTTTTGAACTGGGAAAATAACATCTTTATCTTTTGTTCATCCGAAATGCGGAAGAGATAAGGCATTTTGAGGACGGTCCTACCAAGTTGTGGGTAAAAGATAGAATGAGAAAAAAGATGGGTTTGTAAGTTGTAGCAGCGGACAAATGGCATGAGTCTACTCGGTTTATGTGCTCCATCTTCAGTTTTGTCTTCCCGGACTTGCATTGTTCATATTTTTGACAAATCAAATCAGTCGGAATCACATGTTTTAACATATCAAATCGGGGAGGAAAACGGGTTTGTTTTTCCTTCATACAATCCGTTTCATTACTATTTGTAATAAAGCTGTTTTTTGTCATGTTTAATCATTTTACAGTTTGTTGCTGCAGCTTTAGACACGTCGTCTCATGATAGCTATGAAAAACAGTCGCGTGTTTTGGCATGGGCAGGGCATGGTTTTTATGTTTATTTTGGTCTACCGACCGATGCTTGGACGGGACAACTTGCATTTATGGACTTACTAGTGTTATATACGACTTAGATGTGTGAAAAAAATTAATTCGATCAATTTCATAAATTAATTTATTGATTTAATTTAAAATTTTAAATATTTAATATGTTTTTAATTATTGAATAATATATTTAAAAAACATAAATAATTAGATAGATTGTGGATAGTTTATTTTTATTTTTTTGAATTATCTAAAAATCTGATAAAATTAGAAAAATAAGTTTATTTTAAATTATCTAATTTCAAATACCCTCAAATATAATAAATATGTTTATTTTGAATCTCTTTAGTGTTGAATAATTATATATATAATATAATAAATGTATATAAAATTATATAAAATCATAAAATTTAAAATTTAAATCAATAAAATAACTTTCAAAATATAATAATAATATCAATTGAATTACTCTATTAATAATATTACCTTATTTATATTTTTTATATAATGAATGAAACTAAAGCTAATTAAACATAATTACTAATCAGATCCTCCTACAGCACCGGTCGAATCATTTACCGCAGTTCAGTGACCATAACATAATCGTAATGACCCCTCTCCGTCATTTTTGTCATACAATTTGCCGCTTTATTTCCGTTTCGAGAAACATGTTGGATTTTCACCATCCAGCCTCGTTTCAACAACTCTACAATGCACTCAACAAGCGTTATCTTACTTTGGTCGGCTTCAACTAACATAATCACCTTCATGGCCTCCAAGCTATCAACTTCTACGATAATTTGGTGCGGTCCCAGTTCTCATGCGCAGCACAACCCCAGCTACACCCTCCATATTTCAGCTTCTAAAATCGAGCACATGCCGATGAATTTAGTGAATCCCAATTGCCGAATTCCCTCATGATTTCAAATAACACCACCACACGATGTAGTGCCCGAAACCTTATGTCTAGCGCCATCTGTTTACCTTTAACCAGTCAATCAGAAGTTGTTGTCATATCATCATCCTTGTGGTTGGTCGTTTATGCAGATTCGTTTGTATCTCATTCGATATTAACGCACTGCAAGTAGTCTCCAATAGTTGTTTGCTCTGTTCAAGCGCCTATCGTTTATCTTCCATATGAGTATCAAAAGTATTCCAGTTGTGATGTAGCCAAATGTTCCAAACAATTGCACCAAAGAATATGTCCCAGTGTTCCACTTGCCCAACGAACATAGCCAACCAAGCTTTCATATCCATTTCTATAAAGTCATTCAACCCAGGGTTTTAAATAGCGTTCACGGTCACGTTTTCGGTCGTGTCGCGTTTATCACGGTTGCGGACATAACGGCGGTCATTGCGGGTATTGCGGTCGTGAATTTTTTTAAAATGTCGCACAACTTACCCTAAAATGACTAAATTAAATATAATTAAAATAAAATTGTAAAATTTAAATTGCATAAATTTATATTACTGAAATTAAGACTAAATTAAATAAAAATTAAAGTTTACATTTTAAACTAGGGATTAAATTATAAATTCTAAAAGTGGGAGGGATCTCAAATTAATATATCATTTAAAATTATATTTTAAAAATTATTAAAAAATAAATAAATCACCCCTACCCCTTCCCCCGACTCCTTCCCCCATCATTGACTGAAATAAAAATCTGGCCTTCTGCCTCCCCCTTCCTCCTCCGCCTTCTACTTGCCCCTTCCTCCTCCTCTTCCTCCTTCCCCCTCCCCCATCATTGTCTGAAAAAAAAAATTGTGCTATCAATGTTTCTGTTTTGGAATCACGGTTGGATAACAGTTGTTGCGTCTTATTATCAGCGCAATCATCCGTTTCCCGTTAAATTACGGACGCATTCGACCAAAATTGATGTGAATCTATGACCCATCGCAAAAATCATGAAAACCGGTTTCAGACGGTAGCGCGACCGTAATATCACGGCCGCTATCACGTTTTCAGAACTCTATTTGATACCTTGATTCAACCTATCTTTTTCCCCCACTACAGACCATATGGATAAAGCTAAGGGGCAGCTTCGCAACAAATGGTTTACGTCTATCGATGCGAAACATAATGGACAATTACTATCCCCATGAAATGACGACGCACTCATTCGACATTTGTCATCATTTGATCCCTACAAATTAGTCGTATGAACATCTTAACCCTTTGCAAACCTCGATACTTGTTGGTCATAGTCCAAATTATTTCTCCATTATTGTCGGGAGTATAATGTAGATCACCACTTAGACTCCAGCCTATCATATCCCTGCCAAGCTGTTACATAGGACCTTTCTTAGTTGCTATTCTCAATAGTATATGCAACGGAAGGAACTGTTCAAAGCATGGCCATTTCCAATTCTTCTTCTCGTAGCCATATCCATAACCGATATTCTTTGCATACCAATTGTGTACACGAATTTCGTCCTGGCTTCGATTTCAGTTTTATTTTATTATTTATTTTGTTTAGTTATTTATTTTATTATTATTTATTTTTATAATTTTATTAGATTGGTGATTATATATATATATATATATATATATATATATAATCTACATGAAGAGCAATACAACATATCATTTTTTCATATTTGATCTTCCTTGAGAAGTTGTGAAGCAAATCAACCTCGATTCAATCTTACATGAATCAAAGTTTCCAGATCTGATCTTCACTAAAGAGTAGCGGAGCAGATCCCATTTTCATATTTAATATTCCCTGAAGAGCAACGAAACAAATCTATCTTAAAGTTACAGTGGAACGAATTACCTCTCATGTCTATTCCAACATTGATCACATTTGAACGAAAATTTGTGTCTATTTATCTTTATCTCATTCTTGTTTACACAACAATGAGTAAATATGGGCATGTGTAGACATTAAATTTCATTGTGGCTTCGATTACTATTCTATTATTTATTTTATTATTATTTATTTTTATTATTTTATTAGATTGGTGATTATATATATATATATATATATATATATATATATATATATATATATATATTATAGGCTAAACTCACGATATAATGCACTCAAAATAAATAAATCACGATCTAATGCACTGACTATATTATTTGCTGAAATAGGGCGAAATCAACAGTGGCCGTAGGTCGCCATGCCTTCCGGACGACCTACTACGTCGCCATGGCTTCCCGGGAGAGATAATGGACGTTTTCATGGCACATGCACGTCCCCAACAGGTCGCCATGCACGTCCCCAACAGGTCGCCATGTATTCCCCAACACCCCTACAAGGTCGCCAAGCACTCCCAACGACCTACAAGGTCGCCATGCACTCCCAGCGACCTTGTAGGTCGCCAAGCAATCCCGGCGACCAAGCTTCACGTGCCCCTCTGCTCCCGTGCTCCTCTCCTGCTCGTGAAATCACCTGCTTCATGCAACAATGCATGCATGTGAAGCCGTGAATTATTGGTTCAATTATTGAACCATTGCAGCGTGAAATCAGCTGCTGCCATGCAAACGTATTATTGGTGAAATAATTGAGGCAGCCGGTGACATTATTGGTGAAATAATTGGTGCAAACAATTATATATGGGGTGTGCATTATCGTGAGAACATAAAAGAAAGAAAGGGAGAAGAGATTGCAGCAGAAGAAAGGGCGAAGAAATTGCAGCCGAGAAAGAAAGAAAGGGAGAAAGGAAAGAAGAAGAAGAAAGGGAGATAAGGCTCTTGTGAGGTAATTTTTTTATTTAAATTAGTTTATTATTATAAAATGTTTAGTTTGTTAGTTTAGGGTTTATGGTAAAAAAAATCAGTTAATTAGTTTGTTAATTTAGGGTTATATGATTGTTAGTTTAAGTTATATTATACATAAATAAAAAATTATTTAATTAGTATGTTTGATAGTTATATAGTTAAAAAATAATTAATTAGTTTGTTTTGTTAATCGTTAGTTATATAAAAAATTATTTAATTAGTTTGTGGTAGTTAAATAGTTAAGTTATATTTGTTTGTTGAATTTATATTATATAAAAAATTAGTTAGTAAGTTTATTAGTAGTATATTATAATGAAAAAATAGTTTATTAGTTTTAGTTATATAAAAGAATATTTTATTAGTTGTTTAAGGGTTTAGCGTTTACGTTTAACTTATATTTTAAAAAGTTTAGTTTGTTAGTTTATTAGTTTATTATATTAAAGTTTAGTGCTGTAAATTAGTTAGTTAGTTTATATTAGATTATATTAAATGATTTTTTTAAATATTGTTGTTTAATTTTTTTTACAGATTCATCCAATGGCTGACCAAATTCCACTGTTGAGGCTTGACAATGAACATATTTCAAGTCATTTGGGAATAATGGTGAATAAAATATTTGTTTAATGAATTATAATTAATAAATATTTGAATATTATTTTATGATTGTGATAAATTTTTTGAAATGTTTAATTGCAGGAGGACGAGCAACGAGTCCTTCGTCTTCGGCTACA